GGGGGTATTCATAGTTGAGAGATCTCATCTTCCTCGTGGGGGTATTCATAGTTGAGATTTCATTTCTTCCCAGGCTTCCCATTTCTGGGAGAGTCCGTTTTGCTGCTATGTTTGTTGGAGCGTATGCTGATTTTATGTACACGAGTGAAGCTGCTGGCCTCAATCCGTTCTCCGAATTTACTGTGCTTTTTAATGAGTGTCATATAGGTAGTGATATTTCTTTCATTCCCGAGAGTAAGAATTTTTCTTTTCTCCTTGTTCTGATCAAGCCAGCTAGTTTTATCAACTTTATTGATCTCATAAAACACACACACAAACACACAGCTTTGGGTCTTGTTGATGTTTCTGTTTTTCATTTCATTGATTTCTTCTAATCTCATGATGACTACTTTCATGGCTTACTCTGTCTTGAACCAATCGTTTCTGGGGTGAAAGATCATTGATTTGTCGATTAATGTAACCATTCCAAGGTCTTCTCTTTTTGCCAATTACTGCTTCAACTCCAGTCCCAAATTTAATGTGTTGTGCTTTTCCTTTTCATTCAGCTCAAAAAAAATCTCTGACACTTGCTTTACTTAGAAATGTAGATATTTTTTACTTTCTGAAGAGTTGTGTATATTCTAGATGTCTTTCTGTGGTTGGTTTCTAATTTAATTCTGTCGTGGTCAGAGTACTTACTCTGATTCTAAAGACTTTAATTGTGTGGAGACCTGTTTTCTGGGCCGTCATGTGGGCTGTTACGGGTCCCACAGGCAGGGGAAAGAACTCGTGGACTGGGGTTGTTGGTTATGGTGTCCTCCTGGTGCCAACAACGTCAGTGCTGCTCCTCAGGTCTCTGGTGAGATACCGAGACCACAGGAGAGCTCAGGGCTCCAAGTACACTGTGGACTGGATCAGTAGGTCTCTTCTAATCGGCTCCGCCCTCCAGCAAATATTTTGAAGCTCTGTTCTTAGCTCCTGGACATTGAGGAGTGCTCTGTCCGCTGGATAAGTTGCTCTCTCATCTTCCAGATGTACCATGCTTTATCCGTGGTTTTATTTTTTGTCCGATTTAAGTTAACGTGGCTACTCTTTCTTATGATTACTATTTATTACCTTCTCCAACCCTTAAATCTACCTTCTTCTGTGTCTTCACCTTTTCATTTGGTGAGGCTTACAAAGCACATCATCAGCTTGCATTCAATAATTCACACATGTTCTACTCCACTTCACTGATTGGAACCCCCCACCCCCATGTGCCACCCTCCCATCCCACCCCCTCCCTGTGTCTTGTCTCCGTTCTTCCTTCGTTCCTAGCCCTCCTGAACGTTGTCCTTGGGAGAGTACTGCCCTTAGACCCCAAACGGTCCATTATTCTAAGATGTCCCCACATCAATATTGTGATTATTCTCTTTATTGACCGACTATTGTGTGACTAAAAACAGCCCAGGGCTAAGTTCCATTCCAGACCAGGCGCCTTCATCTCAGACTCGGGCCTGGGCGTCATCTTCTTGTCCTGCTGGCTGTTAGCCTTGACCCCCTCCAGCACACTGCTTCCTCGTGACGGGCTGGTCACTGTGGTTAGGGTACTGGTGGCCTGTGGGGTACACCCTCCATACCCCTGCTTGTTTTCACTTGTCCGCTTTTATTTCCTTTCCACCTTTGTTGCCTTCTTTGGGATGAGTTTGGTCTTCTGTAAATTTCCTGTTGACTCTGTAAGTTAGATCTAAGGGGTAGAAAAAGGTGATACAATTGATTTAAGTGTTAGCTCTAGTTTCTTTATCCTAGTGTTTGTTGTAGGGTTTATAATAGTATGCGTTTTAGCACATTCTGTCTAGCAGTGGCATTAGGTTACTCGATATGTGTGGCAAAAGGCTCCTTTGACAGGACACAGGAGTGTGCCCCTCAGTGTCTGCACTGTGCTCTGTGGAATGGGATGTGAGGCGCCAAGTCGACGGTGCGCACACCCGTGTTCAAGCTTCCTGGGAGCCTGCTTCTGGTTGTCGGTGGCTGCAGAGCAGAAAAGCCCGGGCGCCACAGGTCTGTCTTTGGCAGCGGAGACCTGGGAGCCCACGGCCAGAGCCATGTCTTCTGCCTCACCTACCTGTGTCCCGGGGTGGAGGTGGGGGTTCTTAAAAAGTGCCACCTGGCTACAGCCCCAGTGGTGGTTGAACTGTGCCCACCTGCACTCCTTGTCCTGGGACGCCTTGAGCACCATCTCCTGGAAGGGGCCGCAATTACAACAGTAACGGGAGGTCTGCGGAGGCCCTGTCAGCCTCCCCCTGGAACTGTTTTCTCAGTCAGGGATTGATGTTGGTGTGGAGTTGGGGATGCTGATCTCCCACTCTGAGCTGCCAGGCCCATGGCATTGATTGCATTGCTCCATTCGATGTTCATGTGTGTTCTTGCTGGCCCGGATTGCTTCAGGCTTGGCATCTATCTGGGAGCTCTGGGGTCTCTGACTGGTCCCCACCCCAGTGTTTTCTGAGTATGCTCTTCCTTCTTGATACTGTGGGGTCCTCCACACCAGGAAGCCTTCCTGGCCCTGGGAATAGGGCACCAGGCTTCTAAATGGCTGTTCCTGGAGTGTGGTGGAGCCCTGGTACACGACAGGTAGTCAGCGCTCAACCGTTAGCTGGTAGGTCTCTCAGTTCTTTGCAGGCCGTCTGCGCATGTGTGACAGTGAGCCCGAGTCTGTGCTGATGTCTTCTGACCCTGGGAACTCTGGCGCCTGTGATCTGTCACTCACCCATCTGTCTGTCTGCTCGGTCCTGTTGTTGTTGTTGTTAGGTACCATTGGATCGATCCTGACTCATAGGGACCCAGTGCAGCACAGGAGACCGTCCTGGCACTGTGCCATAGCCCCGGGGGCCGTCATGCTCTCCTCCTTGCATTGCCCTCGACCTCGCCAGGCAGTTTGGTCCTAGGGTATGGAAGTAGCCCTGGTGGCACTGCGATTACAGTGAGGCACCCCCGAAGAAGACTTGGTGCATTCGGATTGTGGCGCCAGAGAAGACTATCGAAGCTACCCCGGACTGCTAAAGGGCAAACTGACCGGTCTCAGAGGAGGAAGCACAGCCAGCGAGGATGGCGAGACTCCACATCACGTGCTTCAGTGTGTGGTGGTCAAATGATCTCTGAAAGTGGAGGCTGGCATCTCGCCTGTCAGGTCACCTGGGGGACGTGGTCTCCTAAGAGGAGACACCTCCCTAAGGCACCTCCCTCTCCGCAGCTTTGCCTTCCTGCTCGCTGGGACCGAGGGCTGTGTCAGTACCCTGCCGAGTGCTGTGGTGACTGCATCACCAGCCTGGGGCCGGCCTGCACTCAGCAGCCCTTCCTGCGTCTTCTCTATAGCCAAAGGGCCCTGTGGATCGGGCTGGCGCCTTCTTGATGCACAGCCACTTCTTGATAGAAAGCTTTTCCTTTCTGTAGATGAATGTCACTGGACTTGTTTCTCTAGACCATCCAGCCTCGCAGAGAACTGTTCTCGGGCAGACCATCTTGCTTGGTAAAGTGGAGAAGCAGCGAGAACGGAGGCCCTCCACGGGACGGGTGGACACAGGGGCTGCAGTGACGGGCTCACACATGGCAACTGTGGGTGTGGTGCAGGAGCAGACAGGGTTTTGTTTCGCTATACCATGGGGCCACATAATTCGGAACTTGACAGCACCCGACCCCGTGACCACCACAAGACCAGCAGTTCAAACTCACCTGCCGCTCGGTAGAAGCAAGTCGAGGCAGTTGGCTTCATGAAGATTGATCCTGTGGGGCTTCGCTGAGCAGTGCCCGACAGCAGACACTATGGACTCTGAGTCCCTGTGAGGAGTGGGCTCACTGGGAGCTCCGGCCCCTTCCTCCTAGGGTCCCCTCTGTGCATGCACTGCGGGGGCTCAGAGTGGCTGGGCCCCCGCAGAGGGGTCCTGTCCTGCATCGAGTTCCACTCTAAGGTGGAGGGTGGGGCTCTGGTTGCCACCAGACTGGGGGGGAACCCCTGTTCAGCTGGTGTGTAGGGAAGCCAAGGCCTCAGGGCACCCTTTCCTCACATCCCCCATCAAGTTCCATTTAAATGTCTCCTGTGACATTTTACACATGTCTTCACCACTCAGGCATGTCTCAGGGAGCCGATGGAAGGAGGTGTGTCCTGGGCAAGTGAGTGGTTGTTGATGGACTAGCAGAGCGTTTCCTCCTCACTAGAGTCCAGGGGCGCACCAAGCCCGCCGTCGTCGTCCCAGCTCCAGAGTGGGGACTCAGCCACCCAGAAGGGCCCCGACAGGAGGAAGCGCAGCTCCCGAGGGGGGCTCTCCGAGAAGCCGCTGCATAACCATTGCTGCGGGGAGCAGCCGGACACCCAGCCCGCCTACCTGCCACACTTCCTCTTCCCCCCACAGCCAGGTAAGGGGGCCGGGCCTCCCATGTCTCAAGACAGAATTGACCGCAGGGACAGTCACAGCAGGCCATGTCTCAGCGTCTCAGTCTGCACACACACTCAGGCACACGCTCACTCACGTATACATTTCTTCAGGGTGTAGGACCTGGTATATGAACACACCGGATGGCGCATCACAGCACAGTGGGGGTGCACGTGCTCCGGGGTGTGAAAGTCATGCCCCTGGCCAAGCCAATGGCACTCTTGGACTTGAGGGGACTGCTGAGAGCAGATGGCCCTCTGGCACTACAAAGCTGAGCACAGGTTTCACCAGGGCTTGGGGTGGGGGCAGGGGAAAGGCATGGGGCACACGCACAGACCGTGTGACCAAGGGGAGGCAGAGCAATGCCGGCAACCACTGGGCTGTGACGGCCTCCCAGGGCCGGGGGCTACATGGACAGCTGGAGGAGGAGGGCAGTGTGAGCGCTACATGGACAGCTGGAGGAGGAGGGCAGTGTGAGCGCTACATGGACAGCTGGTGGAGGAGGGCAGTGTGAGCGAGCAGGTCTCGGCTAAGCCATGGAGCGACTGGAGGAAGGTCGTCTGACTGGGTGGTAGGCTGTGGCCTGAATGGGTGAAGAAGCCAGTGCCCACAGGACTCTGGAGGGTGGTGGTACGAGAAGATGGGGTGAGTTATGGTCTTTGCTGGGTCCTAGGAAATGGTCTGAGTGGGTGGGGTAGGCCATGGTTTTCGCTGGGTACTGGGGGATGGTGGAGGGAGCAGGTCAGTGGTCTGAGTATGTGGGGTGGGCTGTAGCATTAGTGCAGTCAGGCTGGTAAGGGTTGCTCAGAGGGGCATGGCATGCGCCACTGAGGCACAAGGGAGGCTTGGGCTGGAGACAGGCTCATGGGGCAGATGGGGGTGCCAAGAAGCCCAGCTTGAGGCAGGGGGGTGAGGTGGGCAGGAAGCCCAGGCTGTTTTCTGGGAGGCCCCTGCTGTCAATCATCCCCAGCCATGTAGTGCCCATAGCAGACAGAGCCCTGTGCTGATGATGGGGACCTGGCCGTCTTCCTGCATGCAGGGTCCATCTCTGCCACATAGTCTGAGGCCAGCAATCGAATGTTGCTCCCCCTGCGCCACCCACCCCCACCCCCGCGTCTGGGCCTCCCTGGAAGCACCTGCTGAGCTCCTCCCCCTCCCGACAGACTCCACAGACCTCGAGGGCTCGCTCAGGTCTTCCCAGCAGTCCAGCGGGCCCACACTGATGGCCGCACAGCCTTCACCCGGCCCACAGAGGTACAGGAAGCACAGGGGCCCTGGAGGCAGGTTCCAGGGGCCTCTGGACCAGGAGTGCCCAGGCTGCCTGGCGGGGGTCTGTGGACTACCGAGCTCAGAGGAGAGCCTAGCCAGGCCTTGTAGCTCAGAGAGCCCCAGCGAGAAGACTTGCTTGCCACCCGAGGTGCCCAAGGCCCAGGAGCCGCCCTGCAGCACCAGCGTTGCCCGAGAGGTGAGCTGGGTGCCAAGGGGGGTGGACCAACTGCAGCCCCAAGAGACACCCCACCTACACCCCAGGGCCATCTCTTCACACAGGACCCTGGAGGGCATGCTGGGGTCTTCAGAGGCCTTTCCCAGCCGGGGGTGGGGTCCTTGTTCCTAATGTCTGGAGAAGCCGGCGGCCTGCCCCTCCACTGCCTTGTCCACTGGCTCAGATGGACACTTGGGACCTGCCCATTGGGACCAAGAGGGAGGGAATGAGGGTCTGGAGGCGTCCTAAACCTGTCAGCCATGCCGTCTGGACCAAGCACCTTCTCGGCTAGGGGTGACTACTGAAGGTGTGGGTCTCAGAGTCCTGTGGACAAGGAGGCCTACCCAAGGGCTCCCCTCAAGCTAGAGGTGTAGCCAGGCTTTCCCCGCACCTGGGTGTGACCCCACAACTATGCAGACATGGAGCCCCACACATGTACCCTGTGCCTGACTAGAGTTACACACCTGTGTATAACCACACATCTATGTAATATACCTGTCTGCATGACCCTGCACATGTGCATAACCTCACACCTGTGTATGTGCACATAACCACGTTCCTATGGAAAACCCTGCACCTGAGTATAACTACACACTTAGGTGCAGCCCCAACTCCTGTATATAGCCCCACAGCTGTGCCTACCAGCTGAGAATTGCATATTCCGCACACCTGCACAGAGCCATGCCCTCCGCCTGACACCGCTCTGGTGTAGTGCAGTGCCACTGTCTGGCTGCCAGGCAGACCGACCCCACCCAGGGCCTGCCCTCACTGCAGGTATCAGCACAGTGTCCGTGCCCCACCCCTTGTTCCACCCCCGCCCCCTGCAGGCCTTGGGGCCAGTGCGCACCTGAGGGCTGAGGGATCCTGGACCTCTCATGCAGCACGTGGCAGGCCCACCCGCGAGGACATCGACCCTGGAGGCAGCACTCCTGGAAACCCTCCTGGACCTGGTGGACAGGCACTGGGGCGGCCGCAGGTCCCTGCATAGCAACGAGGCCTTCCTGGGTGAGCAGCCAGGGCCTTTAGGGACTAAGGCCCAGAGCCCCCATTGCCACCAGCTGCTCCTTGCTGCTTTCAGGGGGCTGAGACCACAGGGCCATGCGGTGTGGTCCTGCCTCTGCTCCCGGCTGGAGGGCACTGGCCACACCGCTCGTGGATACTATCCCTCGAGATCAGGAGTGACCTGACTGTGTGCAGGGCCGGGGTTGACAGGACTTGGGGGGAGGGCCAGGCAGAGAAGGTGACCCCCTAGGGAGAACATGGCCCACATCTGGGTGGGGACGAGGAGACTAGCCATTGCTGTCTTCCCCGCCCCATGCCCCAGTGTGAGCAAAGACAGCCCTGCTGGCCAGGGGCCCTGGGCCCTCAGTGCCTTCTGCCTGTGGGCAGAGTCCTGTTTGGGCACCCCTAGCTCTGGCCAATAGCCCTGAGGGTCCAGGCCCCAAGCAGGCTCGAGTTCCAACAGCTCTTGTGGACAGACCTAAGCAGCCTCCTCCACCCCAGGCAACAGGAAACTGAGGCCCAGGCCCCCATCATGGGTGGGCCAAGTTGTTGAAAACAGACCAGAAGCAGTTTGTTTCCTTCCGCCCCCAAATGGCTGGCTCACTGGTATGTGACCCTGTGTCCAGCTCAGGTGAGGCACATCCTGTCTTCTGTCCAAGCACTCACAGTGGCCCAGGACCAGGCAGTGCTGGCCAGCGAGGCAGTGGGCCACTTGGCCCAGGAGAACAAGTCCCTGCAGCAGCACCTGGAGGAGCAGCAGCAGCAGCACAGCGCCGCCCTGGGGGAGGCACGCCAAGAGCTGGAGGCTGCGCGCAGGGAGACGGTGAGCCCCGCCCACTGCCTGCCCCCTTGCGGGCGGGTGGGAGCTGTTGATGCAACCCTTGGGTGCCAGAAGTAATTGGACAGGCCTTTTTTCCAAGGCACCTCTGGTCGAGCACGTGGCTGACATGGAGGGTATGGACTGTGTATACCACCCACCAGTGGTTGGTTTGGTTAAGGAGCCTGGTGGCACATTGATTAAGGCTGCTCACCTAAAGGTCAGCAGTTCAAATCCAGCTGTGGCTCCATGGACACCCTAGGGACGGGTCTGCACTGCCCCTACAGAAAGGCAGGCTCACTGCCGGCAAGGCAAGTCAGCACCCACTCAGTGATTAGGCCCACAGTGTGGGCTCGGAGTCGGACTGCCCGTCTGGTTGATGGTCGGGAACCAGCAGCTGCGCTGCAGCAGGGCAAGGACGACGCTCTGCTCCCACAGAGACTGACCCCAGACCCCACTCTGTCCTGTGGGGTGCTTGCCGTGAGGTGCTGCTGCCCTACAGCGTCCCTGTGGCCATTGAGTCCACTCCAACTCATCTCTAAGGTCTCCAACGCTGACAGTCTTCACGGGGACACCAGCCTCATCTTTCTCCTGAGCAGCACTGTGGTCAGCAGCCAAACACTTGATGGACAGCGCCACCAGGCCTCCTTGAAACAACTGGACATTGTTACAGACTGTGAAGACACGAGTGAATTTGAACTTGAACCCCTCATTCTTGTCCTTGAAGCGCAAGTCTTTTTCCATGGCACCCCTGCAGACGTTGTGTGGTGTGACCTAGGGACCATCTGCCACCAGGTGGCACCAGAGGGTGCCGGGTGGCTCCTGGCGCTGACTGGCCCTCACTCCGGCAGTGCTCAGGTGCCCTTGCTATGCCTGCAGGCCAGGGCCCAAGGGGCATGGAGCCGTCACCTGGTGTGGCTACTCAGCTACGTAACAGATTGCTTAGAAGTCGAGCCCCGAGACCACCTCACACAGCAGCATCAGGTCTTGGGGTCTCACGCATGGGTCAGCCCTCCCAGGTGGGCCCAGCAGGGTGGGCAGGATCCTCCTCCTGGAAGCCCCCATGTTTTCACCAGTGTTGCTGCAGCCCCAGCATGAAGGTCAGGCCTCTATCTCAGGAGCCAGCTCTATGCCCATGGGGAAGCCTCTAGTCCTGACACATGGGAGATGTGACCTCTGACCCTGGCCTGGGCGTGTGCCCCTCTGATTGGGGGGGAGGAGGGGGCTCGGCTCAGGCTGGCTGGGAGCCACAGGGCCCCGCTAAGCCCCGTTCCCAGGACATGGGCACGTGGTGCTCAGCGCACTCATCTGCCGGCAGGAGGACCTGCAGCAGCACTTGGACAGGTCTCTGGAGGAGAATAGCACCCTGAAGTCCCTCCTGTTCAGTTTGAAGAAGGAAGCTAAGAGCGCAGACATGGCCTCCACCTTGAATGTGCAGATCACCGGTGAGTTTCTGTGTGCCGGCGCGGCTGGGCAAGTGCAGGTGCAGCGTCACCTGGCAGCAGCGGGCCACAGTGGGAGTGGGATTTCCCCATCTTCAAGGAGGAAGCTGGGTCAGGGTGGCTTCTCTGACTTCAGTCAAGACGTTCTTGCTCCCTCTGGGGTCCCCAGCCTACGCCCAGCCAGGACTCTGCAGGTGGGCCTGCTCTAAGGGTTGATGATCAGACAGCACACAGCCTCCAGACCCCCTCGGCACAGGCGGGGCTGCCTATGTGCCAGCGCTGGCTTCTGAGACCGCAAGGGGCACTAGGAGGTCAGTGACGCTATGGGAGCCTCCTCACCCAGACTAAGGCTCTGTCAGGCGTCCCTGTCACCATGATCACGGCTCTCAGACACCCACCCCCTCACTGTGACCACAGCTCTGTCAGATGCCCCCTCACCATGACCATGCTCCAGCTAACAGGCACGCACCAATGACCTCAGATGGGCCCCAGGAGGCATGGTGCCAGGCTCCCCTGGATTGTGAGGAGGCGTGGTGCCAGGCTCCCTGGATTGTGAGGAGGCGTGGTGCCAGGCTCCCTGGATTGTGAGGAGACTGGCCCCAGCTCACCAAAACCTGGCCTGCAGTTTGCTGGAGCTTCTGGCTACTCTGAGGGTTCTGAAACGTGCGAGTTCTAGGAGTCCCTGAGACTGGGGCTCCGACGTGGGCTGTCAGCAGCACGTCCCCCGTGCCTGCCGCCCCAGCACTGCACTCACTGCTGCGGCCCCACTGCCACCCTGTGGCTGCGACCATCTCACTGTCGTGTCAAAATGTGTGTGTGGCAGACTTCTCGGGTCCTGGTGTAGGGTCGGGAGAGCCAGGGTCGAAGGTGCGTGGAGGGACGGTGCCAGTGGCTGTGCCACGAGGACATTGGCTGATCCTCCTGAGCCCGGGAGGAGTCGCCCCACAGTCCTGCGCCCCGTTGTCAGGAGCAGAGGCCTGGTGGTCCCTGACCCCCTTCAGGCAGCCCCATCCAGGGGCAGTGGGCACACCTGTGGCTTCGTGACCCAGTGTGAGCTCTGCTGTGATCCTGGTCCTGAGAAGGGGTCTGGAGGCCTCCTCAGCCCCCGCCTCATCTCCTCAGGACTGCAGAGCAGTGTGAAGCGGCTATCCGGCGAGATTGTGGAGCTGAAACAGCACCTGGAACACTATGACAAGATCCAGGAGCTCACCCAGATGCTGCAGGAGAGCCACAGGTGCCAGCCTGCGGGCACAGGGCACCAGGCAGGCACTCTGTCCCAACGAGGAGCCCAGGCCTTCCTGTAGACACCTCCTCAGGCCTGAAGCCTGCCAGGTGTAACCCAGGATGCCCCGTGGTGAGGGGCCTATGTGGCGTGTCTCATGGGTACCATCTTGGGTGTGATCCGTGAGACAGGTGGCATATGGCCTGTCCACTTCCAAGCGGTGGTCAGGAAAGGTAGCAGACACAAAGGTGAGGGGCTCCCTGAGAGCTGACGGGCCGCCAGGTGGCTACCACGGCATCCCCAGGGCAGGCCTCCAAGAGGCACGGGGAGCAGGGAGCTGGGCGGACAGGACAGATCCTTGCAGCTGCCTGTGGGCTGTGACCCACTTCCACCCCACCCCCTGCCATCCCCATCTGCTCCCTATCCTCCCCACACTGTTCGTTTCCCGCCCTCCCCACCCCTCACCCTTCCTGATGGGTTGCGCTACCTGCCCACATGGTGGGCTGGCCATAGGTGGCTCTTACGCAGGGCCAGGTGACAGAAGGCCAGGACTCCCAAGCAAGGGGACCTGGCAGAGCAGATGGGGCGGAGGAAAGGAAGGGTGTCGTGTGCAGTGTCAAAGGCAGGGAGGTGACAGGCAAGGAGAGGTCTTTCCCAGAACTGTCTTGTCCCCAGTCAGGATGGTGGACAGCTATATCCTGAGGGTGGGGGTCAGAGGGCGCTTGACGTGAGACTCCCTAAGGTGGGGCATGTGGCCCTCTTGGGGGGAGGGGTCGTGATCAGAGTCTGCTCTCGGCTACCACTGTGGTATCTTAGCACCCAGTGGCCTGATCTCCAGTGGCCTCTGTTTTGTTGACAGTTGAGCCGGTGGTCTGCTTATGACCACCGCAGGGCCCTGCAGAGAGTGCCTCTCACCCCCACCGGCAGGGGGGAGGGAGTGTCCTCAGGGACAGGGAGGGGCAGGCCTTGGGCTCTGGGGTGCTGAGCAACTCTCCCCGCCCCCAGCTCCCTGGTCAGCACCAACGAGCACCTGCTGCAGGAGATGGGCCACATGCGCACGCAGCACCGCGCAGAGGTGGAGCAGATGCACTGGAGCTACCAGGAGCTCAAGAAGACCATGGCCCTGTTCCCCGCCCGGGGCCCCGGCCCGGGGGGCTGCTAGACCTGCCCCAGCATTTTGCCTCTGCCTGCACCCTGGGGGCCACATGGCGGGGCTTGTCCCTTGTGCCTTGATCATCCTGTGGGTTGGAAAAGTACTCAGACCCCAAAGGAAACATTCGTTTTCATGACCTGTCTTCAGATGGGGGGGTGCCAGCCTCTGGGCCACTGTGGCAGTCAGAGGTGCCCCTGAGTCAGGTGCAGGCCATGCTGGGCACCAGCAGGGTTCTGCAAAGCCAGCCAATACGATCATCTTCACAGGCCCTGCCGGTGTCTCACGGAAGTCCTTCTCAAGCAAACGGGTGCCAGCGCTTAGGGACAGGAATGAATGCTTTGTGTGTGGGAAGCAGTGTGTGTGCATTATGTGTCACAGTAACTGCATCTACACAAGGCCTGGCACTCTCCTGTGCTTGTAGGGTTTCTAGAGACGGGCGTGCAATAGGACACACACTAGATTTCCTGTTGCGCACTTCACATCTTGAATGCATTGTTTCATACTTGGTCTCGTTAGTAAAAGGAGGCAGCTTTTTCTGAAAGCAGTGTTTCATTGATGTGGGAAATGTGAGCTGACGCAAAAATAAAATGCTCTGCACTGGCTGCTGTGTCGGACGGTTACTCTGGGGGATTCAGGCCACCCCTCAGGGACCTCCTCCTTGTCGAGGTGTGTCCTGGAGGGAGGGTTTCCTTCACCATCAGACTTTTTGGGGTCTTGGAAGTTCTCACGCCTTGGAACTTTCAACCCTTGAAAGTTCTTAGTTTCAAACAAAAGAGTTTCATGTTAACCATGTAAGCTTGTTTAATAGATCTCCATGCATTTTCTCATTTAAGTTTCCCTGAATTTCTTGGATCTGCAAGTTCATATTTCTCATCAGATTTTGAAGTCTGGCTGCTTTTTCTTCAAATGTATTTCTCCGCCCCCCCCCCCCCCAGTAGGCACAGGAGGGGAGCGTTGTCCCGCTCGCTGGCTCTCTGAGTCCCCTCTCTACAGTGTGTTCATGTGCATGCCGAGTTCTCGTCTCGTGCCCTCTTAGGAGGGATGGACTCTGTACGACAGGGGTGGGGAACTTATGGCCCTCAGACCGTAATAGAAATCATCAGTCCCGGTGAACACCACACCCCGCCCCGAAGAGAAGCTGTTCTCGCCCTTGCTTTAGGGGTGAGTGCATTCCGCGTCTGGCCAGGATGGCTCCAGGGGGGTTCTAAATGTCCAAAGGGCCCTGGGCAGAAGAAAGGTTCCTCGCCCTGAAAACGGAGATAGCGTTTTGCGCTTTTTGCCTGGCACTTGCAAATACAGTAACTTCATTTTTCATTCTGTCTCATATACTTTTAATAGTGTCTTCTGATGAGCACTGTTGAATTTTAACGGAGTCCAATTTATCTTTTTCTTTATGACAAATGTGTTTGGATCCTATTTTTAAAACTGTTCCTTAGGACATGAGGATATTCTGTGACTTTCCAGAAGATTGTATGGATTTGACTACTGTCTTATTTTAGCTCTGTAGTCTACCTGAAATTTCTCTGTATGCACAGTATGAAGGTTAGCGATCCTGATGCTGCCATGGGAATATCCAAGACCGTTCGTCTGAGAGACAGTGGCTCACTGTCATGAATGGGTTGGCATCTGTTTCTGACCACTTTGTTTCTCACTGGTCTGTCTGTCCATCTCTGGGTCAGGTCTGCCATCTCCTTGTTAACAAGCCTTCCTCTGATCCTGATGCCAAGTTCTTCTTCATATAAGCCATCTCCTCTGAAGATTTGCTCAGCATGCAGATTGAACAAGCTTGAGCGAACACAACGCTGACACACCTTTCCTGGTGTTAAAGCATGTGGTGTGTCCTTGTTGCCCTCACCTGTGAGCACCGTGCCTCCCGGGTTCTCCAGAGTCGGTGACGGTCCGCATGTTGGACTGCCTGCCCTGACTATGTCAGTAAAGCACAAGTAGACAGCTTGCTGGGCTTCTCTGCTTCCAGGCAAGGCTCATCCGACACCAGCAGCGAGTAACTCCTCATTTCACAGCCAGTTCAGAATCTGCTGGAATTTCTATCAATTCTCCTTTGTTATACCGCTGCAGCTGTTTTATAATTCATCTTTAGCAGAGTTTGTGTGTAGTATTAGTGGTAAAAAAAATCCCCACTGCCTTGGGGTCGATGCCGACTGGGCAGAGAACCAGTTACGAGACTGGCTCTTTACAGGGCAGAGACCCTCCCCCCCCAACGCAGCAACTGGCAGCTTCAAACTGCTGAATTTGCCGTGAGCAGCACACCGCCATGGCTCCTTAGGCCAGTGGTGGTCAGAGATTTTCACAGTGTTACATCGCTTTTCTTCGGCACGGGCACCGATACTGTTCTCCTCAGGCCAGCCTCACACGCCATGCTCACGAGGTATCTCTCCACTTGGCCTCCTTTAGCGTGTTTAATACAGGCTGATCCTGTCCACAGATGTGTATGCACAGGTTCTGACTCTGTGGTGCTACTAGGAAGGGTGTCTTTAAACGTTAATTAGGGTTTCATTTCTCTAATTGTGTGTTGCTGTTGATGTGTGGACATTTCATCGTTGTGTGCATCAGGTGTGTAACCGGCAACCGGTTGGGTTTTAATTTGAAGAGCCTGTGATTATCGTCATTTTTTTAAGGAACACGAGCAGCTTTTCTGTGAGTACTGAGTCTTTGGGTTTTTCCTTGTGTAGTTTTCTTTCTCCCTGGCCTTTGGGCTTAAGTTTGGGTCCTGGTTTTCAGGGCCACCCAGAACTTCGAGTGAGACAGGACTAGCCGTATTAATGGAGTGGGGATTTTCTCCCACTCACCCTGTCTCCTCACAGTTTCTGGTGGGTGTTTTGTGGATGGGCTTTTGTCAGGTAAGGACACTACCTTCTGTCCTTATATTTGCTAAAAATGTTTCCTCTTGAGTCTGAATTTTGCCAGACACATTTTCCACCCTGCTGAGCCGACTGCTGATTTCCTGGTGTAAAAGTGGCGGAGAATGTCTGGGGTGTGCGCGCCGGGGCCTGTTGCTGTTAGGTGCCCTGAGTGGGTGCTGTCCCAGAGAGACTCGGTGAAACACCCTGGCCTGCGCCAGTCTCACAACTGTTCCTGTGCCTGAGCTCGAGATGGCACCCAGTGTCAGTTCACCTCGTGGAGGGCCTTCCTCTTTGCTCTGACCTGCCTCTGACCTTGCCGAGCACCTGCCTCCTCCAGGACTGAGCGCCCTGACGGCACGTCCAAAATGCAGTCTTGTCACCCTCGCCTCTGGGGAGTGTTCATACAGCTGAGCGCTATGCCTCGTTTCCTTATGTGTTGTTCCTTAGTATTTTAGGTAGACCTTTGCTTTCCAGCTACACTTCCTCCTTTGGGCAGTCATGCAAATTCAATCCTGAGCCTCAATTTCCACATTTGTAAGGTGGGGTATGGACAGTGCCCCCCAGAAGCTCGATGAAGATGAGGCGCGGGGAAGCCGCTGCCTGAAGGAACGGTGACCGTCTGGCCGGGCGTTGACCCCGAGGGCGTTGTTCCCGACACACCTCGGCACCTGCAGCCCATGGCGTGCACTCTGCCCACTTCTAGTCGTTCTCACCCAGTGTGTGGTCTGTGTAGCGGAGCTTGCTCGCTGGGGAGGCCTCGGGGCTGGACCTTTCCTTGTGGAGAGCTTTCTGCCTGCTGGCTTCCAGACGTGTGGAGCCTCTTCTCGCCAAACGCTCCTGGGCCCCAGCCTTTGCCAGCCTCCCCTGACACTGGCCACTGGGAAGGTCTGTAGAGGGCACCTGAGGGTTGTCATGTCTGGGCCGGTGGCCTTCGATGACTGGCAGCAGGGACACCACCAGACTTGGGACACCTGGGTCTCTCCTGTGGGGCGACAGTGTTCATTCACCTCTGAGGAGTGGGGAGTTCCCTGGGTCCACAGCCACGAGGATCCTGGCCCCTTCCCATAGCAGCTGGCAGTTCCGTGGCCTGCTAAGTCACAGGATTGTTGGCACAGCACTCGGCCCATCTCGGGCCATGTGTGCCTGTGGAAGTCGTGTGCCTGAGAATAGGGGCCCTGCGCCCCTCACGCATGACCAGCTTACTCCTCAGGTGAAGGCTGGTGGGAGAGCAGACAGCTGCCCACAAGTCCCACCATGAGGCTCTGCCTCAGCGTGAGAGCCCAGCATGTATGTGCCCTAGCAGCGCTGCCCAGTGGCCAAGCCAGCCGGCCGGTCAGAGCCTGACCTTCCAGCCTTGGGGACTGCCAGGCCCCTCTAAGGCACCGTCTCCAGATAGACCCCGTGTACCTTCCCCACCTTTCACACAGGTCAGCTCCAGCCTGCCCAACTGAGGCCGCCTTGCGGTCTCCCTCCCATCTCTGCCCACGGCAGTTCTTGGCCCCAGTATGCCCTGGGGCCCAACTTGCTGTCCCTACCCATGTCCATGCTGGCAGCACCCTTTTTTAGGAGCCGCCACCAGGGAACCAGCCTCGTTTTGATGACTGACGGACTGGTGTAGACCAGCGGCTTGGCCTTGCCTGTCTGTTCCATCCCTGTCTGCCCCGCACTTTGCCCCGCCCACGCCCCTCCTCAAGGGCGGGGTGTAGTGACGATCTCCACCTACCTGTCCAGGACAGGGCGGAGCCTGGCACGTGCAGGTCTGCAGAGGATGGGGGTGTCCCCACCGCCCTGGTGGCACTGAGGACGACACAGCCACATTATAACACCTTTATTTGTCTCTACCAACTGGACACGACGTTAACCACGGCGGACACGGGCGGTTGGACGCAGACACGGGCTGGCAGTGACGGCTGTGGCCATGCACGGCGGCACGCACGCCTTCTGAGTCCGTGCCAACAGCGACCGGACTGGCCACGAGCGGGCGCAGCGACACGCGAGCGCGCCATCACGACTAACAGCGCAAAAATAGATTGCATCTCTGTTCCCTTCCTGAGAAACGCAGCCGGCTAGTGGCACGGGGTCCCTTTCAAGTTTCATTAAGTGGGCCGGCGGCCTTGTCTGGCTGGTCTGTAAGGAGCTTGGGGGTGGGGGTGGGGGGTTAGTGAAGCAGGCCCCCACCAGCTGCGGTGGCGGCGGGTGGGCGGACTCCAGTGTGGGTGGCAGGTGGCGTGCAGGCGTGGCTCGGCCAAACCACGCCCGCGCTGTGCTGGCAGTGATGCGTTGAGGCGGGGACACGAGGACAAGCTTTCCTGGAGAGATGGACAGCCAGCCAGCAGGTGCCCCCATCTCCCTGGGCTCCTCACTTCGGTCCACCTGGCCGACAGCAGGCCAGATGATCTGCAGACCCTGGGGGGCAGGCTTCCTGGGCCCATGGTGTGGGGTTCTGAGTTGGAGGTGTGGGGGAGCCTCCTGGGTCCATTGGGGGATCTGAGTTGGAGGTGGGGCCCATTGGGACTGGGCTAGGTGGGGGTGCCTCTACCCCTGTGCGGAAGCCCACCCCTTTCCGGCAATCTGGATGGGCTAGGTCAAGGGTGGGAGGTCAGGCACAGAAGACAGGGTGGGGGGCTCTGGCAAGAGGCTGGTGTGGTGCCAGATCAGGGTTGGAGGGCAGCAGAGTTATCTGCCAAGTCCAGTCTCCTGCTCTCACAGGAACATCTGGCCATGAACTGTGCTTCCCACACTGCCCACGAGTCACTGATCCCTGAGTGGCCGAGTGGGGGGAGGGCACAGGTCTGTCCCCAGGTAGACAGGTGGATGCTGTCTTCTGCCTAGCTGTGGGGAGTGGAAGCTGACGGGGGTAGGGGAAGGGGTCGATAAACCACAAAGATGACACTGGTTTTGCCACACTGGGACAGTGCGCTGTGTGCAGATAGGTGACTGCCCCGAGGCAGGGCAGTGCTGGGCTCAGGACTGAGGGCCTAAGGATGCAGGATGGCTGGACACAGGACATTAAGACTGGGTGCTGCTTGGGCGGAAGAGCAGGGTGGGCAGGGTCCCCACATAATCGACCTTCCCTCTCAGACATGGAGACGGCCTGCAGTGGGGGCACCCCCAGTCTTCGAGAGAAGTGAGGTTCTCCACGCAGCTTGTCACATGAGCCCTGGACAATGGCACTGGTGCTTCCAAGGCCCGGGCCGCGGTGGGGGGGGCTGGGCCACATGGGGACCACCAGGCTGGCACCAGGCTCGCCTTCCTCCCTCTTCCCGCACTGAGTTTTGCCTCCTCCAGGCTAGCCTTGGTGGCTGGGGCTCTGGCCTCAGGACTGCTGTGTTGCTGGGGCTGGCAAGACAGTGGGAGTGGTACCCCTCCACAGCCACTTCCGGGGAGGTCATGTGCTCACCACCCCACCACCCACGCTGTCAAGAGTGCAGGCTCGGGGCTGCTGGCTGCATGCCCCACTGACGGGTACTCCAGGTGGTGGCTACACTGCAAGCAGTGGGAGGCGTGGACCTTGGTCCCGCTGGGGACCTGAGGTCCCTCCCCAGCAAGCCCTCACGACACCCCACCCCTGATCCGGCTCAGCCAGGGAACTGTGAGGGCCCAGGCCACCCCAGTTGGGAAGCCACCGCCCAGCCAGCAGTTGGCAGACATTTCTTTGAGCTCCTGGTTAGTGAGTTAGCTGGAGGCTCCAGGAGGGGTCAGAGGGTGGCCAGCGCCACTGCCAGCCAGCCCAGGGACTGCTGGAAGGGGCTGGCCTGCTGATCGTGGGCAGAGGGGGTTAGTAGGAAGAGGTGAGACCCCGAGAGCCAAGCACTGTGGGAACTGCGTGCTGGCCACCACCACCCCACCCCCACCCCGCTGACCCACCCAGCAAGCACAGGAATGTCACGAAGTGGGGGCGGGGGGGCGGCAGCTCCCAACGCAGGTGCTACTTGCCACTCTGCACCTTCTGGTTGTAGGTGCCCGCATGCTTGTAGCCCGACACATAGCCTGACTCATCCAGCAGGTCCACACGGCCAGCCTTGCCGCGGCCTTTGCCAGACGGGTCGAAGCGCTCCTTGTGGGAGCCCGTGAACCGGGATGTGTCCGTGAGCCGAGACACCGTAGGAGATGAGACAGCCTTCTGTAGGGCAGCCAGCCAAGGGAACAGTAAGACCGAGGCCATGCCCCAGCCTCTCACCCAGCCCCTCCTCCCGTGACCCGGCCGGTCACTGTGGAGGCCCGAGGGAGTCAGCCCTGCAGGTCCCATCCCGGGAGCGAAAGCTCCGACTGGGGTTGTCCTTAGACATCTGCCCCCTCACATGACCCCACCCGCACATCTGCCGGCTTCTCACCTGGCCCAAACTTCACCTGGTGGCTATCACCTGGCAACCCTCACCTGGCGGCCCTCCCATAGTGGTCTAGCACCTGGCCCCGCCCCCGGGCGCTCACCGTCACCCCCGCGATGATGGGCGCCTTGCCCTCGATAAGGCGGTGCACCTCCTGCAGGGCCTCCTCGCTGCTCTTGTCTTTGAACCGCTTCCTGGACAGCTCCTGGAGCGCCTCCTGGAACTGCTCGAACGTGATGGTCCGGCAGGACTTGCCCCTGCGGGCACAGCCGCACTCAGGCCCCGGGCCCGCCCCCTTCCCCGCCCCTTGGTGACACTCCTGGGACCCCCAGAGGACATGGAATCTGCACCTGGGGGTGCTGACAGCTGGGCATGGGGCGGGGATCAGCCTCCCTCTTCCAGGGTCCCTGGAGGGTCAGGACGGACATTCGTCCCCTTGTTGGAGGGACGGCCTTCCACTGGGGCTGACAGTGACCCCGAGCAGGTGTTGCACCCCCCACGTGGGATCCCTGAGGTCCGGGAGCCCAGGCGCTGACCCGGGAAGGGAGTCGCGTGGGGCCGAGTCTAGACTTGATAGCAAAGGTGCACGTGCGCGCACAGGTGTACACAATAATGCCCGCAAACAGGCACCCGCACATACACCGGTGTACACAATAACACGCATGTGCACACAATAACGCACGCACGCGCACACCTCATGCATTTTCTGCAGCCCTCTACATCTGCCTCAACTCGTCCCCACCTGGTGTATGGGAGAGAAAAACCAGCCGCTAGGATGTGCGGAGGTACTGGCCCAAACCCCCACGCCTCCTAGCCAGGGGCCCTCGAGGGACGCCGGCCTGGTGACAAAGAGAACGGAACCGAAGCCTCCCCACCCTGGTTCCCTGGGCCTGCGCCCCGCCTGCACGAGCTGTTTTCCCCCAAACAACCGGTCGTCAGGGCAATGACAGCAGACAGGCGGGCTGGAACAAAGCTTGGGGTAGCCACACTCCAACAAAAGACAAGGACAGACAGTCCCCGGGCTCCAGGGCACAGCAGGCCGGGAAAGGGACCCGCTCTGCCTGCAGGCTCTGGAGAGTCCACACCCAGTCCAGGCCGAAGTCCTGGGTGCTGGCTGCAGAGTTGGCGGACCATGGGGCCCTTTCCCAACTGGATGCCCAACCCTGGCCAAACCCATCCCCTCTCTAGGGCCCCGCCCTATCCCAGGGCCTAATGTCTCCACAACCCCGCCTCTCCACAGCCCCTCCCCTCCTAGGGACCCTGACCCCTCCCCAGAATCACCTCTTTAGGCCTCACCCTGCCCCACATGTGCCCCAATCCTCAAGCAGTGGACAAGGAGGGCCCAGGGCCAGAGGGCAGCCAGCCTCTGCAAGCTGGGGTCTCTAACTGGTTCATCTGGAAAGACCCTCGGCCTTCCATACCCTCCCTGGCTGAGTCTCTTCAGGACAGGTTTACTACTGCTCTCTCTCTGCCAACACACGGAGGTACCATCCCCCACCCCCACCCCCCACACACACACCAGGCTGCGACCTGAGTGCAGGGGTCCATGCAGAGAGGGGCAGACAGCCTGGGGACCCCCACCCCCAGGTAGGCACAACCCCAGCTCCCCACCCTGCCGCAGTGCTCTGGACCCACCCACCGAGGCAGAGCCTCCACTCCATCCTGCAAATCGGGCTCAGAGTGGCCACCCCCAGCAACCCGGCCCCTGGGTCTCCCTCCAGGAAACCCCAGCCTCTGTCTGGGCCCAGGTGGGAGCTGCGGCGAGCTCTCCATGTGCAGGGCGCCCCCACCCAGGAAGAGAGCTGAGCCTGGGCACCTCGCTGACAGGCCTAGCCCGGCAGAGGGAAGGCCAGATAGCCCTCAAGCTCACAAGGGCTCAGCGCTGAGCCATGTGTCCTATTGGGGGCCTGTGGGGTGGGGAGGGGGGCAAGGGGTGCCCAAAGGGTGAGATCAGGGCAGCCTGGCCCAGCCTCCTGAAACATTCTAGAGCCATTGTCCCAAGGGGGGTTGGACAAACAGTGGGGTAGGGTGGGACACATGACTGTGAGTGGACAACCCAAGCCTCCAGCCACCTTGGTGCTTTGTTGGGTGAGGGGTCCTCTTCCTGTCTCCTGGGCACACAGAGGCACAGATGCCCTGTGGGTCAGCCCAAGCCCAGCAGAAGGTCTGCTACAATGGGCGATCCCTCTGGGCTCTGCCCCCCCCACCACCCACCCCTCATGTGAGTCCTGGACTGTCAAAGGCGTCCCTGTCCTGTCCCTGGCTGGGAGGACATGTGGACACCAGGCCTGACGCCCGACTCAGTGACCACACTGCCAGCCCAGTGCATGGTCCTTCTCCCCCTCGGCACCAGGCACTGCCAGTGTGAGTCACTGGGCACAGGCGTGGGCACAGGGGGTGGGAAGGGGGCTGGCCAGCCCTCTTGCCCATCTGCACCACTGTCCCCGAGAGGGGGCTCTCCCTCCCTCCTGTCTGCTCAGAGTGGCCCAGAGTGCAGGAAACAATAGCGTCCATCCCCAGAGACACTTACGGACAGGACACTGCCCTTGGCAACAGAGCTGGCTTGTTCTGCAAAGTCAATTAGAACTGAAGGGTTTCATCCACACAATGGCCACCCCACCACCACCACCGTGGCCTTCCTGCCTGGGGAGGCTGCAGCTTCATCCAGCCAGCCAGGGGGCTCACTTCCCCTGTCCTCCAGGGCAGGCAGGGCTGGGGCCAGCCCATATACCAGCATATGCCAGGGGGTCTCAGACAACTGGTCAAGCCCCCCCCCCCCAGCTTTGAGGGAGGCAGCCTGGGCCCAGGGTCCCCCAGGCTAGGAGGACTGTGGCCTAGAGCAACCTGCTGGACAGGGCATCGACACCGAGGACTGGGAGCGGGTTTCGGATGCCCACCAACCCAGCAGGGTACCCTCCAGCCTCCCAGCAGCCCCATGCCCCGCTGACACCTAGACAGGGCCCGGCCCAGCCAGCGCAGAGTGTGTGTGTGTGTGTGTGTGTGTGTGTGTGTGTG